AAATAAAATGATTATTAATGTTGTTTTAAAATATAAGGCGATTAAGAATAAGATTTATATGGTTGGATAATAGATTGATCACTTAGTTCTTGTAATTGAATCTATTCTCTATAGCTAAGGTAATTGGTGGCTTGATGTGGAAAGTTAAAGTAAGTGGTAGCATGGTGTGGGATGCCAAGGTGAGTGGTAGTTTGGTGTGTAAAGCCAATGTATATAGTAGCTTGATATGAATAATAATAATATTATTTTATATAAAGAGGCTCTAAAAATATATGTGCAAATATGTTGAGAATAAAGAGATAACTTTAAATTCTAATGAAGTAAAATATTACGTAAACTAAATACTAAAATATACCTAGCAAATAACAACCCTTAAAATGCAGAGAATCAATGTTGTCCCATAATATGAGAAGGAAGTGTAACAATACAATATAATTTATTTATTAATATTAATATGTGTGTGTAATTTACCCTTTTCTTACTTCATATGTCCATAATTTCTATTATAAAAACTTTAATTACTATTGGATGACTTCTCCATTACCAAGCTTTATAGTTAGATTGTAAAGTTTACTTCTTTTGCTACATTGATCCTTATCTTAATAGAAATCAAGTAATCACACAAATAATTCAGGCCTTTCCTCAAAATTTGATCAAGTTTATGGCCATCTTAGCTATGTTTTACATAAATGATTAAGTTTTATCACAATTTCTTAGTTTTTATTTTTAAAGATGACTAAGTCATCTGGCCAAACCACCTCAGCTTTGCCTCTATAAACTACTAAGTTAAACACAAGTCACTTTAGCTTGCCACTATTTGGAAGACTAAGTCAAAAACCAAAACCAAAATATTTGTATCCCCTTAGTTTCTGACCATTTAAATGACTAAGCTATGCACGTTATCTTTTATATTTACTAGCTTTGTTCATTAAATGATCATCATTCTTCACCATATATTTTCATAACTCTCTTGCATTCATGATGCAATTTCATTTTACTAATTATCAAGTGTATATAACAAAGGCAATCCATTCACGTATAAAAAAAGAAAGAAAAACAACAATAACTTGTCATGATTAAAGAACTTAACTCACTTACAGCTCCAAATATACGAGCTTGCTTCGCTAAAGTTCCAACCACAAATATTCCTTTTAAAATTAAAGGGAGGTATGCTTGTTAGCATATTCATATCCAATATTGCAACATATATATAATCTCATTATCATGTTAAGTTTTTCAACATTAAATATAGAATAATTCTCATCTGAACATTAATTCCATTTACACTAATTAATTCTTCTATTCATATTCCTTATCAAGTATACATATTTTCCCAACTTAATTTTTTTTAAGATGAATCATCTTATTATTGGTGGTAAAATACCTTCAATCCTTATTGATTCACACTTTCATACTTTAAATATTTCTTTTCATATCTCCTTAGCTTAAGCTTTTGTTTTAAGCTTATATTTGATTTTACTAAACATAACAAAAGTAACTATGTCATATCATCATCCAACTTAATTCTCACACTGTTCCTTATGCTTTCATAATTAACTAACTTTCTCATGAACATATAATTTATTACTCTTTCCACTATTTTGCATTGAAATACATTAAATCTTTACATATACATATTAACATGCATTAACATTAACCATTTATTCTATTTAACTTTTCCAATATATTATTATAAATTTATATACAATTTTATCATTTATACATCAACATACTGGAATCACTCAAAATTATACAAGTTTTGTTACATTTTATCTTTATCATTTCTTGTTTGTAACATGACTAGCCATATTCATTAATTTCAATAATTTCATATTTTGTTTAAATTTTCTTCTAATAACCCTAATTCAAAATCTAAAAGCAATGCATTAAATCTTTTTTTTTGAATTTTATTTAAACAAACTCAAAACTTCGTACCCCACATTAAACTTCAAAAACTAACCTATTAAAAGTTATTCCTCACCTTTAATTTTTTTTTTTTTGTGGTGACTCACAACCCTTTTTTCTTCGTTCTCCCTCGCTTAATTTCTTCTTAAATCCTTGCTTGAGGGAGTGATTTATGTTTTGCACATTATACAATTCCTACTCCTCTCAAGGTTTTTAATTATTTTACTCTTGTTCTTCTTCTCTCTCTTTATTTTTTTTCTTTCATTCCTTTTCTATTTCTAGTGTCAAAAGAAGGAAGAAAAAACTGTTGGAACATTGCTATTTAATCAGCATATTTATGAAATTGCCATTAATAAATTTTAGGTTATTTGTTATCCAATTGTCGATAGTTTTAAATAATCTTTACGAACTCGAATTGTCTTAAAATTTTAACCAAAGGTAGAACTATATGTTATGAGATTTCTCATAAAATAGTAGTTTGATCTAATTATTGGATTGAGCGTTATGCTTAATAACGTAAAACTAGTAAGTAGATGATTTTTCACCAAAATCTAACTTGTCTTGTTTTATTTATTTATTTTTGTATTAGATTAACTATTCTACTAACTCTTAGGACTTCTTTTCTTATCCTATTTTTTTTTATTTTATCTTTCATCATTATATTTATTTATGACTCATAATGGTATCACCATATTGGTAATGATTATTTATTTTTTATTATTTATCATAATCACTCATTTTTCAGGGGCTTACAACAAGTACCACCCTAAAACCTCCCTCGTCCACATTGAAACCTACAAGCTACTAAATACCTCTCTCAAGTAGCAGTCTCTTACATGGCTAACAACCTAAGGGGACCATTGTAACGCAACTTCACCTTGAAAACAAACTTGTAGCAATCCATTATAGTTAAGAATAATTTAAAAAAAAAAAGAAGTAAAGTAGGAGAAAGAAACAAAGCCAATAGAAGAAGGAGAAAACTAGTTAACAGAAAAAGAAAGCTAAAAGTTCAAGTCCTCTTATCTTCTCCCTCCAACACCAATGGTACATGATTAAGGACCAAGTTTATATTGATTTAAATATTAAATCTTGATTCATAGGTTGTGCTTGGATTGATATTGATTTATTTAAATTAGTATAAAATTTGAATATAAGTTTGTGAAATTTATAAGATTTATGTTGGTGTTTGGTGTTGTTTTGTTTCGAGTTGATGAAGGACAATTTGTCTTGAATTGATATCGTGGTTAAAATAGTCTTGATA